GTCAGCTTCTGGCCTGGATGCTGCAGATGGAGTGGCCCAGGGCACTCAAACCCAAACACTACTTCTGTGCCATTATCCAAGGAAGTGTTTATCTGCTTGATTCAAATCTGCTTCAGGTCTGCAATGAGCATCTGGCCTCCCAAGGACAGAGGCTGGCTTTATGAATTCAGAGCCTTAGGCTTGGTTTCATAGGCCTGTGCAGTCCAAGACTTGTACAGGGCTTGGCGATGATCTTCCTTGCGAATCAGCTCCCTTTTGTCTCCATACTTCTCACCAGCTCACTCCCAGCTTGATCTCTGACATGTGTTGGTCTGGACTAAGGAACTTCCCAGTTTAGTAGGTGGGTGTGGGGGCAGAGTACAGGAAGGCCTGGCCTGAGGTTCGGGAGAGTGCGACCCGTTGGATTGGTATCCTTGGGCAAGCCACCTCTTTCTCCTTAACAAGAGTGTCAGGCAAATTAAATGGGAATTAAAGCACATTTGCTTCAGATGTCTCCTGACACAAAAGGAACCAGGCTGGAGGGCTTCAGGGGGCTCGTTTTGTACTTCCTGTGACCCAGAGCACCCTTACTTCCATTAAGCATGTCATATTTGTTTTTTGAAAACTGTATGATCTCTATGTGTCCTTTATATTTGATAGTGATTTTTCTATGAGTGTCCCCCTAAGTATGTATTGTAACAGCAGACAGATTAAGGCTGGTAATCTCATAGATTTCAGAGAGCAATTGAACAGTCATTTCCAATGCACAAGAAAGTTTTTATTCCCGGGGGTTAAGCAGAAGGCTCTAAGTCTGTAACCAGTCCACTGTGGAATGGACTTCACTGTTTAGGGCAGTTTTCGTTTAACACCAAAGTGAATGGAAAGTGCAGAGCACGCCCCGACCCCTGCTCAGCCCTCCCCCCCCATCAGCATGTGCCCTGGGGGGCTCGCCAACGTGACACATCCTGGCTCCTCCTCCGAGAGCACACCGTGGGGTTCGCTCTTAGAGCTACACCTTGCATGGGCTTTGACAAATGAGCAACAGTGTCCCTACCATTATAGGATGACACAAAGCAGCTTCTCTGCCCTACAAATCTCCTGTGCAGGACCTTGTCATCCCTTCCCCAGAGCCATGCAAACCACTGATCTTCTCACCATCGCCATAGTGTTGACTTTTCCAGAGTGCATACTGGAATCACGGCAGGCAGGGTGTTCCACGTGGCTTCTTTCACTCTGTAAAGTGAATAATA